AACTCAAGTAACAATTTTCCCATGTGATCATCGTGAGCAAGTTTGGCGAGAAATTTATTGTGGCTTTTAAACCAAAATTTAATAGTGACCGTCTTTCATTATTCTAAGCAAAATTTTTTCAGAAGTAATGTACAAGTATGTTTTGAGATGTGGTCCCAATAGCGTAACAGTAAGCGCTTTGTATTTCAATACTGGCAACCCGGATTCAATCTCCTTTGTTTATAAAAAATTTTATCATTTTTTCAGCTCGATTTTGCGGGTTTTTTAGAATCGGACGGAAGACCCTCGTTGCTCGCAACGAGTTTTTTTTCTAGTTATTATTATTCTTCTTGATTTTGGCAGACGATTTCTCGAAAACGCCTTGATGGATTTTCCTGAAACATTCAGCAATGATGTAAAATCAATTGAACTTGTGATTTTTTTTCATTTTGAAAACGTCACCCGGGGCGAGTTACAGCCGATTTTCGTTTTTTAAATGAAATTTTTCAAAAATTTTTTAGAGATCTTCAATATAAATTTTGAAACTTTAGGGTGGTATATCTTGACCTTTAGATGTCGTACGTGTTCATTTTTTCCGTGACACTTCCGTTGTAAACCGGAAGTAGTTTAAATATACCGTATTTTTTCATTTTTTTATTTTCTAATGAATGTAATTGTTCATAATAAAAATTTAAAGAGTCTGTGTCTTAATATTTTCCCCGGAAATGGGGTTTTTAAACCGGAAGTTGTCTAGAAATAAGTATTTTCCATCGAAACTTTCAGGGATGATTATTACTTGCTTGATGTAAGGTTGAAGGTCGTTTTTAGCACTGGTCCACCGGAAGTGACTAAAAAGAACCGGAAGTTAATTGGAATTGATAGATCCTACATTTTTTTGCTTTCTAATTATATCTTGAAGAATTCTCTTGCCTTTTTCACATTTTAAGTTTTATTTTTAATCCTTTCAATGGAATTATTCCAACACTGGTCTTTTCCATTGATATGGACGGAAGACCTACTCGTTGCTGGCAACAGATGGGATTATTAAGGTTTCCGTCTTGCGGAAGACCTTATTGTTATTCTTAGGTTTCTTTTCCACTTTTATTATTCTTTTTTTTCTTACCGATTTTGTGCACCATTTTCAAAAACGGCTCGATGGATTTCCATGAAATTTCAGGACTTATGTTACATTCTTGAACCTTATGCATTTTTTTCCGATTTGATGACGTCACTTCCGGTTTGGAGATATTGCCGATTTTATGATTTTTGAAAGGTCAGTTTTGCAGACTTTCTCAATAATGGGTCAAGATAGAAATTTGAAACTTTCAGGTAAGATAGACCAAAGTCTATAGATATGTACAACAAATTTCATTTTTATGGAAGTGCCGCACGTGGCGCTCGCTATGGGCCCAAAAATAGTCCTATCACATTTTTCAAAATTTTTTCACCTTTTTTACTAACTTTTTACCTAGAAATATTTTGTGAAAACACATAAAAAAAAGAAGTGAGAATTTCAAGATTTTCAAATGATATCTCAAAAAAAGGGCTGGCCCCTAAAAAAGGGATGGGGGCCAACGTTTTTTTTTTATATCTAAAAAGTTTGAGAATTTGTAATACTAAAAAGCAAAGTTGTTAAAATGTCAAGCTTTATTATTTAAGTGTCAAAATACGTCCGGGGTCGTCCCCCGGCCAAACGGGAAGTAGTGGAAAAAAATGTTTTTTTTTGCCGTTCTTAACAAGTTTTTTGGGGTTTTATGTGTCTCTCTGAGAGCATGAAAAGTAATTTTTCCCTCCTGTGTATTTCCGGTCAAAACCCGGGAATCGCAAAAAATGGCTCATTTTGAAGTTTTTGATGCAAAATTGAAATTATAAATCAAAGGAGACTACTTAGCTCAATGCTTTCCTTTGTTCCGTCACTTCCGGTTTTCCCCGGGAAAAACCGGACGGGAAAACCTACTCGTTGCTTTGCAACGAGCTTTTTCTAGTTATTATTATTTTTTTTTTTTCTTACCGATTTTGTGCACGCGATTTCTAAAAACGGCTCGATGGATTTCCATGAAACTTTAGGACTTTTTAACATCACTTGAACCTTATGCATTTTTTTCCGATTTGATGACGTCACTTCCGGTTTGGGGAATTTTCGATTTTATGATTTTGGAAGGGTAGGTTTTCCCGACTTTCTCAATAATGGCTCAAGATAGAATCATAAACTTTTGGGTTTATAGACCAAAGTCTATAGATATGTATAAAGTATTTCATTTTTTTCGGAAGTGCCGCCTGGCGCTCGCTATGGCCCAAAATTGACGTTGCGAATTTAAAATTTTTAACACCTTTTCTACGATATCTTTTTTCCTGGAAATATTTTGTTAAAACATATAGAACAAAAAAATGTAGAATTTTAAGATCTTTGAAATGATATTTTAAAAAGGGGGTGGCCCCTAAAATGAGGGGCCTGAGGGCCAAATTTTTTTTTTTTTCAAAAAGTATTGAGAAATTTGTTATCGAAAGAAGCAAAGTTGTTAAAAATGTAAGCTTTATTATTGGACTCGTCAAAATACGTCCGGCGTCGTCACTTCCGGCCAAACCGGAAGTAGTCGGAAAACCGTATTTTTGCCGTTTTGACAAATTTTTTGGGTAACATATGTCTCTAGGAGCATAAAAATAAATTTTCAGTCCGTCGTCGTCACTTCCGGTCAAACCGGAAGTAGCCAAAAATAGCTTATTTTGAAGGTTTTTGATGAAAAATTGAAATTAAATCCGGAGACATTAGCTCATTGTTTCTTTTTTTTTGTCACTTTCGGCACTTCCGGTCAAAACCGGACGGGAAGACCTACTCGTTGCTTTGCAACGAGCTTTGTCAGTTATTATTCTTTTTTCTTCTTATTTTTCTCCCGGGCTTTTTTGTCCCGGTGTTTAGAAACTGTTCACCCAACGAGCTAAAACCTTTTTAGGGTTAATAGGTGTGTAGTGTAGGTGTGCGGAACGAAGGTCATTTTGCGCGCATACGCATGCACGTGCGGGCGCGTGCAACACGTGAAATTTACTTAATATAGCTATAACTTTTACATTTTTTGATGAAATGATTTGAAACTCATAATATCATATATAAAGATATATTAATACTGCAGATAATGTGACACTGTCAAACTAGCATGAACTCGCGCGCATGCACGTGCGCTTCGCTCTGATTGGCTGAAACAAAAATCTCAATATATCTTCTGTTTTTTCAAATGCTATGAAATTTAAGATATAGGTATACTTTAGCATGTCCTACAATATGATATATAACAATTGTCATGTAAACACGCGCATGCACGTGCACTGCAATCTGATTGGCTTAAACTTTAAATGGCTATAACTCCCTTGTTTTTCAACCAAACAGTATGGGATTTGGAACATAGAAAGACATAATGCACTCGCAGAAGAAGGTATGGTCGTCATGCACATGCATGCACGTGCGTGCAGTTCTTTTTGATTGGCTGAAAAAAAAATGCAATATCTTTTTTAATTTTTGACGAAATGCTTTGAAATTTTAAACATAATCATGCATTAGGATGTTCTACAATATGATATATAACATTTGTCGTGAAAAAAATGCGCATGCACGTGCGCTGCAATCTGATTGGCTTAAACTTAAAATGGCTATAACTTTCTTGTTTTTCAACCAAACAGGATGGGATTTAGAACATAGACAAACATAATTTAGTCCTACAAGATGATATGGGCATCGTGCACATGCATGCACGTGCGTGCAGGTACAATGCGTAAAGTTACAATTGCACTTAATTTAGTGTATTTTTGAAAAGTTTTTAATGAGATGCCTTAAAATTATGTACATTAAAGAATACTGATAATGTAGATAAAATGATATGGTCATTTTGCATATGCATGCACGTGCGCTCGTGTGCAATGCAAAAATTTGCAATATACATGGTATACATAGAAAAAAGGTTGAAAAGTCTAAGATGCATAGAATGTGTCTTATTAAATGAAACTTAGAGGAATTGAGGCACCAAGAGGAAGTTGGGGAGCGTTTGGGGAACATCTGTAACGGTTCCCGTTACAATTAGCCCTAGTTCATTCTGTTGTCTATTTCTATCCTTATTGAAAAAGATATTGCTCTGTTATTTAAAGTCTTGAATTTTGCTTACTTTATAAAATGGATAAAGCTTTATTTAAATGGTATGTCCCGTTGTTTTTTGATCTTGACAAGGAGCACACGCGGGTATGATTGGTCGGCATAGGATGCTCACTACTCCATTGCACCTGATCCTACCTCTTGTTAAAGAGGTATATGCTTGTACTGCTTCTTATTTGTTTTGTATCGATGGACAGTTGAGCTTGAAAAATTTTTCGTTTTCTTCATATATTTCATTTAATTATCAAGTATATGGTCTTTTACTAACTTTTGATATAAACCAGAGACATTTTGATATAAACACCAGGGGGTGGTTGTTTTTATGTCTCTGGACAAAAATAATTTAAAATTTATAATTAGAAAATAATATAATGAGTACATGACATGTTATTTGTTATATATTCATTATATGAATTTCTAATTATCTGATAAATTATGAACGAAACTATCACTAAACATTTTTAAATATATCTATAGATGATTCGATCATACGATGCCATGATTTCAGAAAAATTTAGTAAATTCATGTTTGGCTGTTTCGCAACACGTTCTCGTGTTAGCATATCAAGAATAATATATTTAGATATACAATACATGAAAATAGTGAATAGTATAAATAGATAAAGAGATAGTTGATGTTTTCAAACGTCAAAAAATGTGAAGGGGATTTTACATGTCTTCCATTATTGGCACTCTTGTTTCTCTTCGCTTGACGTCATACTACGCAAGAATACAACTGTGTAGCAAATGATCTTATTCTGTATTTGTAGTTATAGGTAGTTTTTTATGTAAAAGATGAAAATAAAACAAATCATTCCGCCATTACTTAGAATTCGATAAATAAGAGACAACATGAGTCTCCAAAATGTTTTTTTATACTCTAGGTTTTGTTAAAGTGATGTTATGACTGTGTTTCTTGTCGCCATTTTGTCAATATCTTCATTGACGTCTGCTCAGCCTTTTCCATTTCATATGGGTGAGTTTTTTTACGTGATTATAATGGTATTTTTGGATAATGATGTCTTGGTTTATATCATTACAATACACAATTTATATAATAACAATTCGATCGACTTAGAGCATGTTAAGTTTGATTTCTCTTTGTTTTCTCCCTATTTTATAACTGCAGGAAAATAAATTGTTTCGTTTTCAATTATGATTTGTATCTTTTTTCAGATATCCTTGCAGATGAAGACGAAGCTGAGCGTATCTATAACATCACAAATGAATTCTTTAATTCCACTCGCCTTGGAGTGTGGGCATCTATGGATATAAGTCCAGTCACTTTTGTCGTAAACACGAAAAATGAAACTCCTGGCATTTATAGTGAGTAAAACTGTAACAAGTAATTCCTCATTACAAAGCCAAATTTTAACTTTACGATTGATTAAATATTCCATCGATTGATGTCAATGAAAAAGAAGCAAAATTTTAAGATGACAACTATGATTACATTGCCCCGTTTCCTTTTAACCACTTAGTTTAAAATATCTTTTTGGTGTAATTTTTGGAGTGCATTTTAAAGTTAAAATATCTTTTGACCATTTTTCCTACTAGGTTTCACTGAGAAAAACAGTTCTTCCTCGTCATATATTGATATGAAAAGAAATCCCTCCGATCTGTTGTGCATATTAGCAAAAAGCATAGGTGTAGCTTATATTCGGACTCGCCCTGGAAGGTCCAGTATTTGTCGGCCGAGCATACAGATAAGACCAACAGTGACCGAATACATGGACATTGCCCATCAGATCTACAAGTATAATGATAGTGAATTCACATCAGTCGTTTATATTACGGACCACATGTATGGTAAGCTCAGCAAAAAGTTATTTTCATGCTGCAATGTGATGATTTGTTGAAGGAAAATATTTACATGCACACAATCAAGGATTGTTAAAGCAATTGTCGAAGTACTGCAAAAATATTTTTAAAATAATTTTGTCATTATATTGTTTCAGATTTCGATCTTAGCATTTTTCAAAAGAGATTCAATTCCACCTTGAAGATGATGATGTTTACAATTCATAATAGCAGTGTGCCATCTCAAGTAAAGCAGTTTGTCACGGATGGCAACACAGATTCTTTCATCATGTTTGCATCTGGTGCCGTTATAAGGAATATGTTACAAATTGTGAGTTACGTCGTGACTTAAGATACATTAATAACGATGGATTTAAAGGATGTTTAATTTCATTTATTTTTTATTTGGTTTTTTTTGTAGCTTTCAAACCTGAAGAATTTAACAGTGACAAGGACAGATAACTGGGTGATGATACCATCAGACGAAACAGAATGTCCGGATATTTTGGGTTTGAATTTCTCAGTCGTGTGTCTTCGACACGATTTCGTTAAAGATCCTGATGTCACCGTCGACTTAAGATATGTAAATGGAAACTTAAGACTTATTTACAAAATGAAATGTGTTTTAATCTACTTTTATCTTTTAAAGAGATTTTAAACATCAAAGATTGGAAAGACCCGTAGATGTAAAATAAGATAAAGGATACATAATTACATCAAAGAAGACAGTACGAGCTTTATTGTGCCTTAAAAATTTAATGTTCTTAAAAAGTTATAAAATTGGCTTTAACAATAGTTGAGTAGATTAATATGATAAATCTTTTAAGAATATGGCATGAAGGAGGACCTATTTGAAAATATGACATCATTAATTTGGTACATTTTCAAGTTTAATGCAGAAAAGCCTCAAAATGGCTCATTTCTGTGCTAATTTTCCTTAAGAAAATAGTGTCAGCCACCGTCGCCCACTTTAATTTTTGGATATATTATGCAAACTGCTATGAAAAATTACATATTTCAAAATCTATCTGGGCGTCGTTTGCAGAGTATGTTTTCTCAAAGAAAATTCCACTGAAAATTGATGTCTTCTGCAACTTTTTAAGAAAATACGGGAAAACGCACAAGTTAATGACGTCACAATTAGCATTTAGGAGGTCATATTAGAAAAAGATTTCTGTATTCTTACTGCAGGGAATTCGTATGATTCAGAAAGAATGAATTTTGATTTTTTATATCATTTTCATATTTAAGAAAAATATAGGGCTTAATTTGTATTGAAACTGTACCCTGTTCTTTTCATAATCTTTTATTCAAATGTTACAAAAACCATTGATTTTAGGTGGATGACGCATTATTGTGGAGAAGTCTCCAATTACTTGAGAAAAATATCAAAGCTTTATCCCTCCCTTCGGTACCTACTGAGGTAAACACTTTCCAATATTTAATCATAATTTTAGAAAAAAGAAACTTACACTAATTAAATAAAAGTGCAGTTAAATATTTGCATTTTGAATTTAATATTTAATCTTTTGTTTTAGACGCCAGCTTTGCGGCACCTGGCATGGCATGTTTACAATGCAACTAAAGAAATTAAATTGGACGACGATTTAATGAGGATCGATAAAATACGAACAAAAGCAAAAGTACAAACGCAGTTGCTTTGTTTTAAATAATGGCTGTAACTTTTGTTTGTTTTTTTTACCCTGTAGAGTATGTTAAAATATTTAAAAAAAAAAACAATAAATAATTTCTGAGACGTTAATGAAATAATCAGAAATATATGAAATGTGCATTTGTTATTTTTCTTCTTTTCGGTTTCTTGTCGACAAATATCTTACTTTTTTCAGATAGGAACATGGACTCGGTCTACAGACGTGGTTTTGACTACACAACCTTTCGCCTTCACCCATGCATCATTATTAACAGTCATCACTATCCATGTAATCCGGGTTTTTTTTCAGTTCTGCTTTCAACATCAAATTTGTCTCTGATGTTTCTTTCTTTGTATTTAAACCTTAGAACAATTAATATTTTATGTATACCGATATCATATTTTATATAAATTTAGATCATTTTGTAAATCTTTGACGTTCTGTGTGTGCACTGTGGTAGCGACCGCTCTATAATAGAAATATGATGAACGCAACGCTTACTGGCATAAATCATTGCATGAATAGTTGACATTTTCAACTGCAAATGCTAAATCGACGCTTAATGAAAGAAACATGCATCATTAAGAGGTTGAGAATCTGAACTTTTTATGCAATAATTTATTACATTAAGCGTTGCATTGCATTACGTTTTATCATTAGCGGTTGCTACGGTGCATACATTTTATGGTCAAAACTTGACCATATAAAATCTTTTTCAGGAGCCACCATTTGTAGTAAAAGTTGTGAACAAGAGTGGGACTTTCTTTCAAGGCTACACCATTGATGTTCTAGATAAGATTGCTGAGGAGGTAGGATTCACGTACCTGATCCGTGAAGCACGTGACAATCTGTACGGTCTAGCTCTCCCGGATGGTTCTTGGACGGGACTCATAGGAGAGGTCCAAAGAGGGGTAATGTAACATGCTATCGTGCTGGTAATAAACTGATCGGGGTTTTTTTTCCGATTAAAATTATTATAAAAAGAAATGCTTTGGATTATATTTTAGCATTTTAAAGAAATAAAGTCTTTAAGCGGTATATATTTGTTACAATAATCATCTTATCTATAATCAGGATAAATGTGAGATACGTTCAAAATTTAGATTAACATTTAATGTAAAATATTTTAAACATACGTACATTACAAGCCACAGCGTTCTTATCTTTATAAAATTGTGAAGATAAAAGAAAAGATAATTATATTTTAAAATTTTGTCTCGCAGAATATGCCAAAAATGTTTGCATTCTATAAAAAATAAGATTTTTTTCCTGTACATGTAAATGATAAGCATTAAGTATTAAGGGTTTGATTAGGGCTAGTTCAGGAGGCCTAAATGTTAGGATGTTAGAGTTAGGGTTAGGGAATTAGGGTTAGAGAATAAGGTTGAAGTAAAGAACTTTTTAGATGTTAGGAT